ACATCATGATTCTTGTATGCATCCATTCTCAAGTCCAAGGTACCATTGGCGGTCGTCACAGCATCTGGATCGTAGTATTCCAAATCCTGAGTACCTCCGTACCAAAGATCTGCTGCTTGGAAGAACTGATCATCACCATCATAAAAAGTTCTGCCTTCTGCGTTGAATTCGTCAGAGAAGACTAACTTCCACGTCTCACCTTTGGAAGTCTTTTTAGTTAATACTTCTGCTGGAGTGTCTGGATCCACCAAATCAGTTCTGATAGCACTCAACAAAGGATAACGGTACGAGGTTAAAATCTCGTAACTTTCTGGAACGTACGGACTAGTAACACCAGAATACGTTAACACAGGTAACAAGATGAACACAACAATAGCTGCCAAAACTAAAAATATAACTCCTAGCAACCCACCTAGCGATCTTCTGTCCATATTTTTCAAGTCATGGATGAATCTGTTTTTATCATATGCTGCGTCCTCTATTGGATCAGGGTTATGCAAATAATCATCAGGTTCCTTCTCGTCTATGTGTAAAGGAAACGACGATGCTGGATAACCTCCAAACGGACTGAAGTCAGTTCCAAGCAAAAATGGGTTGGTGGACTTGTTAGAAATCGAGGAATCATCTTCCGACCTACGCATACTTTCATGACCCTGCTGAAGGTTGTTGGTGCTACTGTACATGTGCGACGAAAGCGACGTGGTCGACACCACTCTAGAACCCGCCATAGATGGATATCTGTCGTATTCTGGAGGTACTTGTATATTCTGCGGAGAGCCTACGTTAGGCACCCCCAAAGAGTCTCGAAGCCCCGCATTATCGTCTGAAAGGTTCTCCTGGGACAACAAGTTAGATGTGGTCCCGTTTTGCGAGTAATATCCGTCGTAAGTATTGAATGCACCTCCATAGTTCTGATCGTTCAAATTTCTGTTTGTCTGGTTATAGTCGTCCAGTTGACTCGAAGAAGACGGTTGATTCAGCTCAAAAGAGCTTTGTTCATCTATAGGCGAAACAAATGGGTTTTCCACTCCTGGCTCCTCTTGGTTGGCGTCATTTGGTGTATTATATGTTAAATCCCTTTGCGCCATGGTTCAACTTGTTGTCTATGCTTTATCTAGCGAATGTATCTCCTTTAAGCTGCAAAATCCAATACTCTCTACCCTGAATAGGACAACTTCTCAAAACAATCGGAATTTTCTATATTATCCTTCCAATATTCCCAATATAAGGATCATTCGATGGCTTCCAAGACATTTGTGTTCTAAGGACTAGTACTAAATGGCTATGCAATTTTTAATTGAGTTACACACGCCCTCTATTTTCTCATAAGAAATTTCCACGCATGAGAAGAAAAATTTCGTGTCTTTGTGTCCACAGGAGTAAGCACCTTTGCATTGGATCAATAGGCCTTCCATTGGCATATTGGAACCAAAAATGGTAGTGTGAAGGAGGGGCGCAAATAGCCAAGATACTTGGCAAACACCAATATTGTAGGGGAATTTTCATTCTGTATTGACATTTATCAGTAGGTTGAAATCGAGATCTTAGATTTTGCAATTACGGAAAGAATAAGATATGGGAGAATGTGTGGACAAAATTTGGTAAAAGGCCGTATACGTTGGAAATGTTTTTTATGAGATGGTATAGGTTGGTTGCAAAGGGTGATGCAAATGACAGATGTTCAGCAAATAACAGATGTTCAGCAATTGTGAACAAGTGAATTCTTAGGCCAGTCATAACCAGTCTCTGACCACGATGTGAGATTGTTGTCTTGGTAGGCTTTTGGATGTGCCTCGATGTAGTCATAGGTTGGGTAATCATCCGGATCACAGGTTAGGTTGATGGCATCTTCTGGTTGATAGATTCTGACATGATCAATACGCATGGTAAGAGGAAAATGTAATGCGTTCCAGTCGATGTAGGCCCAATTGTTGGAAATACCAAAATTCATAACCAAGGACATTGGTTCTTTCGACAACAATCTACGTCCGATGTTTCCGTTTGGGCCTAGCGATTTGGCATGGACAGTAAGAGTCGGGTCCATACCAACATACCAGGTCAAATATCCATCATCATCATCATTCAAATATTCGTACCCATATACCTGGAAATTATGTTCATTGTCACCTTCAGAGTACCACGATACGTTCAATGTTGTT